CATTCTTACTGCATCCTTCTCGAAGATTTACGGCGACCTCGAAGAAAAGGACGTGGCTTTAGGATCAGCATAGTATAATTGGAATTAATGTAGTCCTAGGTCCCCACCGAAAGGCGAAAGGCAGGAGCTCACCGCTTCGCCTCACAAGACATTGAATTGGATCAGATTGGTTTCAAATACACTGCGGTCGTGAATGAATGTTCATAACCTGGCACGTTGCTACCCGGTGTCCTGGCCCCACTTCCCTTTTCAACCTAATAACTATGCGAGGCTTTTAGAAAATGGCATCAAATTGCATTGAGAGAAGGGCTTCCAAAGAGGGAGTGTCATTTAGCTTCAAACCCCATTTAAATGGAGTTATACCATTAGCTCGAAAGAAAACATGCACGTTATTTCCATTATTTAAGAAGAGGCTTTTTGAAGTGAGTAAGGTTGTAATTGATATTCTTTTAGTTTTCTTTTACTGATGAGCGTTTTCCCGTGACGCAGTCTTTGTATTGAACATCACTCCATTTCAATCAAATGTTTTATTGTTGCATACTCTTACTGGATGGGTTACTAATGTCATTATAATGTAATCGAAACCAATTTATTGTGGCTCTCTACACAGTGAACCGTTGGGAAACCGTTTTAGGTTACAGGTTATATGACATCTCGGAAGGAGGAGGCACAAAGTTCTCGAAAAAAGTTTCGCTATAGAGAAAGTGTATCCCTGTTGTCCAAAGAAACGAGCAGCTGAGTGAAATCTGAACTGAAATGGAATCGTTGCGAATCCCCTTTTCTACATCCAACGGGAAAGACTCTTCGTAAAGCTCTCCTCCTTCTACAGTTCGTCTCTTCTTTGCAAAATTTTCCTCCCAAGATGTTATATAACCTCTTTCAAACAACGTATCTTGTCACCTTTTTCTTTACATTCAGATTCTTCATGTGTGCGGACACTCCTACCATTTCTTCTTCCAATAGCAATTCAAACGAAGGCGTAAAAGTGAAGCTACAGTGAAGGCATGATGGCGTGGGTCCCGCAACGAACTAGATCCAAGCAGTGGGCAACTTGCCAAGAAAACTCGGCCGGCGTTTTTTCAAGGTGTAGGTTTGGAAGACGGACGTTAGGAACGATTTTGGGTAATCGATTTGCCGCACGCGGCTGTCGCGGACCCCTCATTAGCTGTTATTACAGCTCTAGCGTTCTTCATACAGCTCAATCGGTAAGCGATCATTATTTTATGCCTAATTCTACTAGTAGTACTTTTGTTCTTGCATTTCTTACCTACTGCTGTATCCTGCTACATTCCTTCGCGCGCGACGCCCCTTTCACCGCGACGCGACCATTTCGTTCCTAACGCACCACACCCTGTAGGTTTAGGCGAAAGTCACGCAATTTCAGGGGTAGGTTCATCCCCGGCTGTGGGTAGGGATGCCTCCCTTACCAGGGTGGGAAGTGAATGGGGGTCGCGCTTCTCTGAGCTCTCGCTAAGGTGAGGTCGCAGAGGCAAATGTCTGATGATTATTGAGGGCTGTTGATTTTCACCTGTTTATAGGAAAAAACTTTGCTCCATTGCAACTATCTTGATACAGAACAAAGGCAATAGCACCATTTGACATTCGTGCCCTTCACAAACATTTCCTTGGGTCTCTCCCCTTCCCTGCCCTGGGCGTTATGCGTACGGCCCATGTTGTACCCATAATTTCGTGACCATATGCAACTTCCGTCAGCGTTCTCAGGGTTTAGTGCTTCTAGAATTTGTTGGAATGTTTCCCGTGTTTAATTTCTACCTTTTTTGAACCTGTTTTAATTGTTCGGAAGACAGATCTTACCAATCCTTCTCTTTTCGCTCACACTGGCTGCTTCGAATTCTCTGCTCCAGCGAAAACAACAAGCAAGCGCTGAATTTTCAAGCCATTAACTGTCATTGGGCGCTTTCAGAGTTCAACGACGTTCGTTGCACCCTGAAAACACCTATTTCCTGCGGTGATTCTCGCTTCCCCCATCGTGAGCGTCATGCATACGGTTCGATATGTCTATGACATGGTTCCAAGGAGGAAGCTGTCTCTTCTCTTGACTTGACTTTTCTTTTTCAAAACTTTTTGTTTTTATTTTTGCTTTCGTTGCAATCTTATTCTTCGGGCAGTTCTGATGTTTTTCCGCTAACTGGTGTTTGTCTTCATTTCTCAGTGATCATGCAGCTCCGATGAAGACGACATTTATCTACACACCAGTGTATCTTGGAAATAAACGTGTGGTGAAGAAATGGCGGATTTTTCGAAAAAAAAGGAACGGGACTCGCATATCTTCCGCCCATCGTCGTCCTTTATTTTATATTTCTTTGTACATATTTTTCATGCGGCTGGGTTATTGGTAACAGCAAAGTCCAAGTCGATGCACATACCTCATGCTGCCATCTACAAGAAACTTCTCTTGAAAGCTCCTTTCATGGTGTGTTAGAGCTCTGCCACGCGAATGTTTTTTGTTATTTGAAAATTTTTTATGAGATGTCTATGAATGAAGTTTGATATCGAGAAGTGAAAACAAATCACAATTATACGGTTGAGCGCATTTCATTTTATTTTCAAAAATAAGCTGAGAAGTGGTTGTAAAGAGTAAAAGACGGTAGTGATATCTGCAATGAGCTCACATTTTACGTAGCCCCAAAGAAACCATGAGAAACAAACCTTAGAATCTTGAAAAGGGAACAATTCCTCGCTCCATGCTAACGAAAGCAGGTGTGCATTTCAAAAGGAGGGTTCTGTATCAAGTGTCTTACCTGCAGCGCTATTACTTGAAGTGACCTGCTCGCTCTAGCTCTGCTGATAAAATAAGCAGCACAGAAGCAGAAGAGGCTCCCAAATCTCTCTATCTCAATAGAAAACAAAGGGATCAAGGAACTGAAGTAGTTACGCGGTGAATCGTAGAAGGCTGCTGACCAGCAATGTGCCAAGTCATCGAAATACCTGCATTTTAATGTTGTACTCAAATGTCCGAGGGAGTGCTGGTAATAATTCAAAATGCAGAGTGTCGGTTATCTGGGTACTTTAGTCGGTACGACCTAGTCTTGTTAGGACGTACGACCAAATACTTCTGGTGGTATACACCGATTCGAACGATCGCAACCAAGCTTTCGAATGCAATTCTTTTATGTGTTGCAACCTACAACGTAAAACAGATTAGGGCGTTCGAGACAAAGCAAAACAGAAAGAGAATGGTAACGAAAAAAATGAGGTAAAGATGCGGTGGTAATATGGCGAGGAACAGATGAAAACAACGTAAGTATTGCCTAAAATGGCGATACCGCAAATGATTGACGACAGTCGAAGCTAAGTGCGAATAAGGCGATATGGAAGAGGGGGGGGGGGGGNTGCTGCGGCGCAATAGGAACGAAATTGTCGCGTCGCGGTGAGAGGGACACCGCGCGCGAAGGAATAAAGCAGAATGCAGCAGCAGGTAAGAAGTACAGGAACAAAGTAACTAACAGTAGAACCACGCCTCAAATAAGGACCGCGTATCGATTGAGCTGTATGTAGAACGCTCGAGCGGTAATAAAGGCTAACGAATGGTCCGCGACAGCCGCGTGGGGTGAATCGATTATTTTGGCGTTGGCGAATCTCCTGGCAGCCCTTCTTGGGCTTCTACGGGAACAGCGGCGGGCTTCCGGACGGCGGTAAGGAACGGCGACTGGCTCTATTGGAGTGTTGGTTCCACTCGGCACTCTCTTCACGCGCGAATTCTGCAATAGATCATCGATAATCGTAGATCAAAACATTGGTTCATTGACCCCCGGATCTAAAAAGAATGGTCTCTTCACTCGTATACTACAAGGACTCACGTGTCTCACATCGACCACGGTACCAAAATCGTCCACGTTTGGGCATATTTCCGCCAGTACGACCGGCTTCCGAGCAGCTGGCCCTTCTTTTGCGACTGACGGTCTCTCCGTCTGTCCCAGTGCTTGTTTCCGTCCAGTGGCGCACCCAGCATTTACGTAGCTTCTCTACCAAAGACGAGTCTTGAAACGTCCGACTATATCATTATTATCGTAGGGGTCACTCCTGAGGCATCGTATGGGATGAACCCACTCCTCTGGTGGGGCGTCTTCCCCGAAAAACCTTACATCCTCGAACGGAGTTATGGTCCTGAGAACGACTGAGACGTTTGATGCTGCATGGTTCCAAATGCGAATATTTGACTCGAACTTGTGCTTCGTGGTGCATTTCGCGGCGAGATTTACAGTAGCGCTCAAAAGTATTCGACCAAGCCCTCGGACGTAACTTTTTTCCCAGTGGAGAAATCGCGTGAAATTAAAATATGTTCAGCTGAAGCATATTTTACACTGTCCAACACTACTTGACTGCAAAGCAGCCGTATCAACCTACTAAAGAGGAGGCCTTTGTAGACTACGCTGAAAGCACGTTTGTGACATCTGCAGTTATTCGGACCTTATGTACGTTCTTCTCTTCTGGGTTGGGCAGTAGCGCTCGTACACTTTAGACATGACCAAAAGGAAAGAAATTCGAGAAGTAAGAGCATTCGTATTTCTAGTTGATTTTGAGTCCAAGCCCTTCGGGATATCTGGAACATGATCAGATTGCAAACTAATAGTGGTAAATATTCAAAATACACCCATGCTACACATATTGAAATTTCGCATGATTAGATCCAGTGGGAAAGGAGTTACGTTACGACTGAAAACCGACAGAAGAAGCATTTGGCCGAATACTTTTGAGCGCTACTGTACGTCCATAGTCTCAAGCTGCCTAGCCATGGTCATAACACGTGTAAACTGGTATCTTTGTCCGGAAATTTTTGATCATCAACACATCGCTCTTGTCATCCGCGGACGGTATGGAGTCGTCGTAAATGACACCTTTGACGCTCTCCGGCGAGCATTTGAGAATATTTTCCAGGTTCTTCGGAACGAAAAGTAACTGTGGGCGCCCTGGTTTTTTCCACGGTCCTTCCCAGTTCTTGCCGTGAATAAGGCTCATAGCGTTCTGGAATGCTGCGCTCAATCTTTTGCATGATCGAATGTGTTCATGGTAGAAAACAGTTTCTCCTCGCTGAGCTGAAAATGCAAACAGTTCCCTCTGTAAAACAAAAGCGCACTGCCCGCGCTTCTGCTGGAGTTTTATTGGTTTTCGTTGTCATTTGCACAAGTTTCTCTCGCTCCGTCAGGTTGTCTTGCAGCCAGACCTGCACTAGCTGAGCCAATCTGTTCACATTGTCGATTTGTATGCCCTGCATCTGCACTGGTAGGCCTTTCAATGCGTGGTCCAGGCGTGTTGCTTGTGCGTCCGTTAACAAGGGACATTGCACCGAGAGACGGAATCCATTGAAGTCTTCGATTTCACGTGGAGAGGATGTGCGACGTCGTCTGCCAGAATGAGCTGCTTCAGGTAGCGCCTGAAACGACATCATTCACTAATGTTAACGCTATGCACCATTACCGTTTCTCCCTTTCTCCTTGCTTTTCTCTTAGACTTGTATAGGTGTATCATCAATATACGCGCGTATTCTCCGAAGATAGTGTTGAACAATCGATGGTTCCGCTTTTTCCCCTATATATGTTATTAGTGCAGAGTTATCGCTAACTTCTAAGACGCGATGCGGGCCTGCCCAAGAATGGGTTAGTTTCGGGTGTTCCGATTTGCCTTTCTCAGCGGGCATTTTCGAAAAGAACTCTCTAACTTTCGCGAGCTTACTAGAGTCCACGTCTAGCTTTTATCGCACTGCTTTTTCCTTTTATTTGTGTAGCTCTCAGTATTTTCCTTTATGAGGTCTTGCGTTAGCTTCATTCCACACATCAGTTCGGAACGATAGTCGTCCATGTCTATTCGATAAGGCGATATTTCGCTAGCAGGTATCACATTTGATGGGTATACGGGGTCAAACCTATTGCGAGCGAAAAATGGGCTCTCATCCATGGCTGCATGCGGGCTTACATTAAATGCATACGTGACATTCGGGATCACCTTGTCCCACTCTGTTGTCATTCCACCTCGCTTCTTCAGCATCCTTGCCAGCGTTTGGTTAGCTCCCTCTGTTACACCGTTTTCGCGAGGATTGTATCCCTTCGTGAATGGCTGTGATATTCCTGCGACTCCGCAAAGTGCTTCAATCACATCGTTCACGAATCCTTTCCCTTGATTCGATAATACAGGGTGCGATATAAATATGGTAACAACTTTTCGGACGTCCAAAATTTTCTTGTTTGGAGGGTTTCTCCAAATCTGCACCTTCCCTTATGTTAATGATATACCTTACTACATAATTAATGACTACATATCTACTTTGGTGCTCCCGTTTCGTCAGATTTCGGAAAACGGTGGAGCCTCGCAGACATCCATCGGCCGTTCCGTCCTTGCCCGCAGTTGGTGCTTTCCGTAATCTCTCCTCGTTTCAACATTTCACCCGTTGACAGTCTCTTGAATCGCGATGCGTAGACAGGTCGGGAAAAACCTGAAAACGGTCGTCTTGCCTCACATACAACCCCTTTTCCGAATAGAATTAGTTGGGAAGGAGTACGCTGCAAAACCTACCGAAATGCGAGAAAAAGGACTGGTGATTTGTTTGTATGTTCTAATCCAATGGGAGGAGTCTACTAAGAGTAAGAGTAAATACAATTGTATCTGAATAAGATTTGAAAGCCTTGTAAGCTTTTTGACGAGAAGAAGTTGAAGAGAAAAAAATGTCGTTCGCTACTTGCGCGCGCCCAAAGAATTTTGGTTGAAAAAAGTACAAAATTCGATCCAAAACTATATGAAGGGTTTTTCTGAAAGGATACAGCTGAGAGTCAAAGTTTTTTTTTAGGGATACGATTCGAAAACTGCGGCGCCGTGCTGAGGGAATATTCGCGACTTTCTCCCAGCTCCCAGTCCCACTAAGAATTTCCCGGACCACGATGTGATGGGTTGCTGGATTCAGTTCATACTGGAGAGGAAAGCCTGCGCTTCATAGCACCACTATTGCTGCTCATAGGAAACAATTGAAAAAATCCCAGGCCGGAGTTTCTCAAGAAACTCTACGTGCCGCCGTCGAGGAGTAGCCGAAGCATCTTTGAGCTATAATTAGTGCAGGAGACAGTTGTATAAGATGACCGTGGGTTCTTTTTGTAGATGTGATGCACAGTAAATAACTCACATGAATTCACCATGTATCAATATGAACTGCGGTTTTTGAGGTCCAATTCTTTTGTTGCCATATCTATGGCGCACCTGTATAGTTTTTAGCCACCTGCCTCCTTCACAGATCCATCTGCCGAACACTAGTCGGGCTATATCTTCCGCCGATTTTGTCGGGTTGGATAGGCTGCTAGCCACTTACAACCACTAGGTATCTGTTGCCGCTTGTTGACAATCCGACTTCTAGCACGTCAACTCCAACGACCTCAAATGGTTTCGTCACGAGTAACAGCTGCAGTGGTGTGACGCAATCTTTTCGATTGTTTGTGAGGAAACGGTCACGGCATTGTTTCCACAAAAATGCGATATCTTCCCAGGAGACTTCTGTCCTGAGTCTCTGAAAGATTTTTCGGACATTGAAGTGTCCTGCCAGCACTCCTGATTGTGCCTCATCGAACACTGCGCGCCTTCGTGAGCGTGTAACTACCTTTGCAACTGTACCATCTTCGAGGATCAAACATAAATTGTCGTGTTGGATGCAGAAATCGGCCACACGGAAAGTTTTTTCGTGCCTCGGCATTCTTACTTCATCGAGGTCTATCCCTTGCTGTAGCTTTGTTATCAACCATCCGTAGTCTGGGTTTTGTTGCAGCTCTTCGAACCAGTTTTTCTCGTTTTGTACCGAGTTTACGACTTTGACGAGATATACGTCATCTTGTCGGGCCTCTACGCTTTCGGTCAGTCCCCTACATAACGCATCGGCTACGCAATTGGCTTCGCCTTTGACGTATTCGATCTCCAGCTGGTACGACTGCATTTTCAGGGCCGTATCACTCTCGGTGAGACATTGGATCGTTTAAACGGAGTTGTAAGTGGTTGGTGGTCGGGCGCACTATGGTTTTTGCACCGAACATTTTCACACCGAACACGAAGAAGTGAAACTTTTTGATGCGAAAACTACAGCTAATGCTTCGAGATCGGTAACGTGATACCGTTCTTCCGCTTTGGACAGTCTTTTACTGCGGTTGGATCATCTTGTCATCGCCTTCCTAGCAGAGGACAGCGCCAACTCCGTGAGTACTTGCGTCAGTGTATATGATGTAGGACTTTCGTCCAACCGGGCCGCTTGCACATTAGGTTGGCCCGGCATCGGACCCCTCGTGATTGCATTTTTCAAGTTTTCAAAAGTTTTGTCGTGCTCATCCTTCCAGCAGAAAAGCCCGCGCGAGCTCGTTAGCTCGAAGAGCCTCTCTGCGATCTTCGGAAGGTTAAGGATAAATTTCCCATAGTAGCCGCACAACTAAGGAATGTGCATAGTTCTGCAATGTTATTCGGTCGAGGATAGTTTCTTACTTTTCCGACCTCTGAATCGAGAATAACGAAACTGAAGCCCAAAGAAATGCACACTGCTCGAGAATAACGTGGCATTCTTAGGACATGTTCTGGATGAAACTGGTGTTCATCCAGAACATGTCCTAAGAATGCCACTTTATTCTCTAGCAGTGTGCATTTTTTTGGGCTTCAGTTTCAGGTTAGCTTTTCGAAAAGCAGGAGACTTTTCTTAGAATTTCGAGATGCCTTTCCTCACTCTCAGTTGCTACCAGTATGCCGTCGATACATACAAAAGCTTCTTCCCCTTTCAATTCAGACAGAACCATATCCATCAACCTTTGGAATATGACTGGGGACGTACTCAATCCAAATGGCAGGACTTTGAACTCGAACAAACCTTTTGGAGTAGTGAAGCGCTCCTTATGCGTCACTGTTAAGCTTTACCTGCCAATAAACATATGCCATGTCGAGCGTAATGAAATATTTCTTGCCCGTTAGGCTTTGCGGTACCGTATCGGTCGTCGGCAACGGATATGAATCTTGTTGAGTATGTTTGTTGAAAACTCTGTATTCAATGCAGTCTCAATGTTTTGTCCTTCTTTTGCACCAAGACAACAGGAGACGCCCCGTTCGAATTTGACTTCGAGATAACGCCTCTAGCTTCCAAGTCGCATAGTGTGGCTTTGAATTTCGGCTGGACTTCTCGCGGACCTGGGCGGACGTTCTGCTTAATAGGCTCTGTACAAGGGTGCCCAAAAAAAAAGACACTATGCATGGGGCCAAATCCAGGGCGGAATACGTCGCACCGATTGAAGCAGCAGAAGATTGTGATTGGGTAAATTGTACTAAGAATGTTGCTTGATGAAAGGAAGCAGGAACTCGTGTGGTTCCTATATCGGCATCAAAATATGATGCCGTCTGCCATTGCGGACGCGCTCAAGACGAGTTATGGGATATCGGTCGGCAACAAGCAGATACGCAACTTTCTCAATCGAGTCGCTCACGGACAGATTCCTGGGCTTCGCCGCTTGGGATCTGGAAGACCGCTGACTTCCTGTAGCCCCGAAAACTCCGCAGTGGTCTGCGATGTCGTGGGAAAAGAGCCGACCGTTCCAGCAACTGTGGTCGCCGAGCGCACTGAGATTCCGCGGACGTCGGTTCAGCGTATTCTGAAGAAAAGAGGATTCAAACTAATGTCCAAGGTTAGCTCCTCGGTGTCTGTGGCTTATTTGATAATCACTCTTCAGGTAAGGGTACACTGCGTTAACGAGAAGCAGCAGAAGAATCGCGCGAAATGCTGCCAGCGTCTGCTGCCAAAACTCAACGGCGAATTTGTGAGGCCAGGCCATTGAAGAATTCCGTGATCGAGTACAATGTATTGTTGATTTTGCGGGTGGTAATATTCAGTCAGAATTTAATAAAGTTTGATTACAATGGTGGTACAAGCCGAGCAGTGAAAGTGTCTCCTTTTTTTGGGCACCCCTATATTTATTGTGTCAATGTCGTGCTGAACCAGGTCAGTTTGCGTTAGTTCGTGGTCGCTGATAGCAAATACATAGGCGAACTCCTGGACTAGCATTCTCAACTTCTGAGGGAGCTCTCTAGATTTCCTGTTTGCGCTTAGATGGTCAAGGAGCGTCTCCATCCTTCGCTCTGTAGTACACTCTTTCGAAAACTCCAGCATGTCTGATTTGGAGAATCCAGCCGGGAATCCACCCTTAGTGGTGCAAACTCGCCGAATTCTTCTCCTTCTTTGAAGATTACCGGACCATCGAGATTGTTGAAGACTGGCACTTCAGCCACTCCTTTTTCAGATACTGAGCACACCCCACTCTCGACCAAGCGGTTGTGTGACTATCCTACTGCATCTTTTGAATGCTGTTCGCATCCCACTTGTACTCTACAGCAACTTTTTGGTTTTACATACGATCTCTTTGCTACGACGGCCATAAGCGCTTTTTTGGTAAATTTGAATTCCGACTCAGGCGATTCTTTCCCCGTGCGTCCTCTGTCTTGTCACTGCAATGAGTTTGTGCTTCGTTTCCAGGAGAGATCAGTATTTTTATCCGCCTATAAAGCGTTTGTTCCTAGTAGCAAGATCTCATCTTTGAGTCGGTTTACGCGCAGTTGGACGAGGCTTGTTCTTACTCCAAGGAGTTTCAACTCGATCTCCATGCACCCTAAGAAGTTTATCAAATTTCCTGAAGCATCAAAGACTTCCATATCGCGGGCTTTTACCTCTTTACAGAGGGTATAGACATTCGCTCCTGCTCTTTTCGCTTTAAGCAGGAAGCTTAGTGGCATAATGGTTATCTGCGATCCAGTGTCGATCACAGCAGTTAGCTCTAACCCTAGACACTGCAGCTTGACCATATGCTTCGGGCCTACTGGGCTACACACATTCGTGCCTGGCGTGTTGCGCTGCTGGAACACCTTTTCAGTGTAGCGCTGGAAGAATTACCCACCTCTCTACTGTTCTTTTTTGACCAACACTCTTCTGTGCTGTGCATTTTCTTGCCACATTTTGCACACTTGACTGTGTTGGGTTACCTCTCAACCACCTTCGGTTGCTCTTCCTTGAAACTCCTACGTCCGGAGTCAAAGTAACGGACTTTTTTGAAGCTGTTTGTTGTTTTAGTCCTGGTCAGCTCCTTTCACGTTTGTCCAGCTTCTGTTCATTGAAGTCATATCGTCTCGCGTAAATGCTCGATGCGCGATGCAGCGTCCTTCATACGCTCATGGACGTGATACCGTTCTTCATTGGTTAGGATTTCATATAAGTGATACGCCCCCGGAGCTGCTCGTGCAGTACTTCTGCTCGAATAAGTGCAAAGGCTGCTTTATCGCAGCTCGGGTATGCTTTCGATGACAGATGCTTCGGCTCGAGGCAGAACTGCAACACTGAATGATGTTCCTTTTTCTTCAGCATTAGCATCAACCTCAGTGCTTCCGCTAGAGACTTTTGACTTTCGAGTCTCATGCGGTTTTTCAGCTTTTGGACAACCATGTCAAAAGAAGTATACTTGACTGCACAAGATAATGTATTGTAATATAATTTTGCTTCGTCACCTAAGTATCCTGTCAGGATCTCCTTCCGATCCTTTTCGCCGTACGCCCTACGCAGATACTTCAATTCGAAAGTTCTTATGAAATATTCAAACTTTTGATTTGGAAGAAGTCTCTCATTGTTTCTCATCGCCTACCCTAGCGTTACTTCGCACTCTCTAGCTCACACTACTTTCATTTTCTGAGTCCTCACTAGACATACCCACATATTTTCCCACTCGATAAATATGAGGTCGTCTCTCGTCTCGATGGTTTCATTTTTATCATCAATCGCGCCGAAAGCTCTCTATCAGTATCGTTGTTTGTTAGCACTTCTCTGTGCGGATCGGGCTCACCATCCATACCTGTGTCCTCTGGCTTCTCACCGTTTTTCCAAGTGTTTTTTTACGCAGTTGAGCATTTTTTGATCTGTAAATAGTTAACTTTAATGATATCTGCAATTGTTACCCTTCTTAAATCACTTAGATACTCGCTTATCGCACAACTTTTGCAGTATATCTTCCGCGGCCTCGTGACTTACTGTCGTGTTGGCCGCGCTTTGCTTATTCAGACTTACAACCAATGCTAATACAGTGCTGATCTTGTCACTGATCAGTTCCAACACAACTTTGTCAGAAGTAGTGAAGAATTGCGCTAACGCCATGTCTGCCTGGGTGACTATTTCTCTGATTTCCTTGCGCAATCTCTCTTATGAGCCCTTCGCTGCCACTCACCTGAGACTTGGTCTTTTCATCTTACTGGTGATTTCCGTGACAGCTAAGGTAGTCATCTGGGTCGCAACGTCCGGCTCTTGCGACTGGTGGCTGCCCGATTCCATTGGGCTCTTCTCTTCTGACTGAACTGCAAAGTTCACTGTAAGTCTCACTCGTACGTAAGAAGTGGATTCTCTATCGCACCTGCTAACGATATGGGTTTGCGAAAGTCAATACAATGCTGCTAACTGTAGCGCGGATCATATCCTTACTACCCACTACCTTCTCTTGGTCAATGCGGGCCACCTGAAAAACGTAAGCATAATGATCGGTGTGGCTTGGCCCCCAAGTCGGTACGACCTACTCCTGTCAGGACGTACGTCCAAATACTGTTCATGTTATACAACGATTCGAGCGATCACAACCAAGCTTTCGAATGCAATTCTTTTATGCGTTGCAACCTACAACGTAAAACAGATTAGGGCGACCGAGACAAAGCAAAACCGGAAGAGAATGGTAATGAAAAAAATGAGGTAAAGATGCGGTGGTAACATGGCGAGGAACACATGAAAACAACGTGAATAATACCTAAAATGACGATACAGCAATTGATTGACGACAGTCGAAGCTAAGTGCAAATAAGGCGATGAAGGGGGGGTCTGGGGGGGGGGGGGGGGGGTGTGGTGCAATAGGACAGAAATTGCGCTTCGCGGTGAAAGACACCGCGCGCGAAGGAATAAAGCAGAACGCAGCAGCAGGTAAGAAGTACAGGAACAAAGGAACTAACAGTAGAATCATGCCTCAAATATGGATCGCATATCGATTGAGCTGTATGAAGAACGCTAGAGCTTCAATAATGGCGAACGAATGGTCCGCAACAGCTGCGTGCGGCGAATCGATTGCAGAAAGTTGGTTCCGCTCGGCACTCTTCCCGCGCGAATTCTGCAATAGATCATCGATAATTGTAGATCAAAACGCTGGTTCATTGACTCCCCTCCGGACGCTTTACTCTTACAGTAACCTTGTGGAATAAAGTGAAACGGATGGAACTATATTATTCACAAAGCCAGTACCTTACCCTTCGCTCTACCGCTCGAAAACTGATGAGCTCAACTTCTTGAAAAACTGCGTTGAGTTCGGCACCTCCATATAATCATGTTTGCTGGAATTTTTGATGGTTCAATAACAGAAGAACCTAAGAGAATCGAAAGGAAAACCCAAAACCCTGCTTCAGACGGCAGGTGGGAATGTAGGGAGCGGAGACGTAGTCAAGGCATGTAGTGAGGGAGGGTGTGGGGACTTCTGTACGATTGAGATGAGGTTACATACGATCGAGGTCACTTCGCACCTCGGTAATTTTGCGCCTCTCCTCAATCGTACATTACCTCATATGAGTATGGTGGCAAAAATGATGAGAAAGTGATGTTTCAAGAGAATTAATAGCGTCGATGGAGATTGTGTAGATGCAGAGGTTCTATAGAGCGAAGGCTGCGGTATGGGGTTGGAGCTGCGTTGACGGAGGTTGTGTAGGAACACCAGTAGTCTAAAGCGAGGGCCGTGTAACGGGTTGGAGCTGCGCTGAACTGAGGGATACCTCGTGAATTCCCGGCAGCAGCAGCATGTGTCCCCAGAATACATTGTTAGGTTCTGGGCAAGGTTTATAGACAATAGCTGCGAGTAAAGCTTTCACCCACCAGGTTCAATAGTTGCTTATGACCTCTCTTCAAGGTCAGAATTTGGCCTGAAGTATTTCATTGTTCCATGAAGAGTGTGAAGCGGCCTAAGCCGAGAGGCGTATCATGTTCTTTTAACGACGAGCTTCCCCACTATTAAACAACCACTCGGGCTGCGCACGATACCGCGCGCGTCTTATCGCTTCCGATTAATGGATTTTCCTTAAGATAATTCGAGATGTAGTCGTCGTAGCAACATAGTAACCACTCTCTACCATACAAAGGAAGGAACACTTTCCACCCTTGCTAAAATAGTCATGAGCCGTCTATCGAGAGCGCACACCTGTAGCAATCTGCGTTTGACGACCGTGTGCGCTCATTTATGCATCCATATGTTAACCGAGACAATTGTAAAAATCAAGAAAAGGTCTTAAAATAATTAGTAATGATGATGATAATGATGTTTTGTTTGTTTTTTTTTTTTCTTTTTTCGGTACCACTTAACGTGTACGATCCTGCTAGACACTTTGGTTTGAATGTTGAGATAGGAGAGATAACCATCTTGTGGTACCTCTCTTGTGAACCTGATGTACGGTGACTGCTCATTCATTATACGGAAACACTCATACATTTCGGACTGTGTTGAAGTTACAATGCAGCAGTCATCCATATACCTACAGTACATCAACGGTAAGCGTGCTAATACTGGTTCTTCAATTTTGCTCATGAAGCAGATCGCCAGTACGGGAGCTAATCGTTGACCAGTGCCAAACCTCTAATTTGAGAATAGTAAGAAACTGACCACTCGAAGATGTCACAACCAAGACATTCCTTGTTTAGAGTCATAATACGCGCTTTACCGAGCCTAAAAGTCTCAATGCTCCCACCGTGCCTATCCAACATTTCAGATAGCGCTTGTAGGGCTTGTTCTTTTTGGACGTTGTTGTAAACCGAGGTGACGTCAAATGACTATATTACGCAACTTGAACCGAGGCGCAAGTTCCGAAGTTGTTCAAGGAATTGGATCGTGTTGGACAGGTGTGAGGGGACCGTGGTCAACAATTGGCTCACAATACACTTAATAACCACGAAATTCTATGGGTTGGTCCACCTACGCAACTGACAATAAGTCTTATTTTTGAAAGTCTCCGCGGATTTTGAAAGTGAGTTGGAAGCATTCTGGATTTTAGCTAGAAATCCAGATATGAACCGAAATGAGTGTGCGACAATCACAAATTATCTCTTGCCATTTATGCAAAAGCGCGAGTTAGTTCCATAATCGCGCGTGCTGATCCGCAATAATATTATTGCATAGGGGCAGCGAAGTAAGATCATTCGATACTAATGTACTAACCGTGTAGCGTAGCGCTACTCTTCGAGAAGGAAGTGAGGTGAGCTTATCTTTTGAATTTCGGGCATTTTTCGTGCATTCCTGATAGAACGTCAGAAACGCTAGAGCGGAGGAGGCACTTGGTGGGGTAGTGTGCAATCAACAAGCCTCGAACCATTTTCAGGCCCTAAAAACGACTAATACATCGAAACGTTAGCCAGAATAAAATTTTCACCTAGCAACCTCGAGGCAGAAGCAAAATTAACGATTTCAAAAACAACATGGAGTAGATTTATATGTAAGTCAAAACTGAGGCTACTCAACGTTGAAGTGCCTCGAAGGCTTTTTTGATCGGCGGAGCTGTAGATGCAAAAGGTACTCAGAACTTAAAAGTTAGAATGAACTTATGAAATAAGCGTCGCAAAGCAGCGAATGTGCTCATCATGGAGGAGATATGGAGTATTTTGGAGTTGGCGGAACTAAAAGAAGCAGTGAAAATACTTTGAACCGAAAACTTGAAATAGACTTGTATAGTAAGCCCCACAAAGCTGAAGTCACTTACCATGAAAGAGAGGTGGAAGATTTCTCGATCGGCGAGTTTCGTAGCAACAAAAGGTTCTTCGAAATAAAAATTTCGAGCAGGCTGTGACAGTAAGCTTCACAAAGCAAGGACTGTAGCGGCAGAAAGTACTTTGAATGAAACAGAGTAGACTTATAGGGTTAGTCCTACAAAACTAAAGTTTTTCTCCATGATGGTGGTATGAAGGATTTTTTGATCGGCGGAACTGTAGGGCAGGAGGTTCTTGGATTTGAAAAGTTAGAGTGAACTTATCTAGAAGGCCTCACAATGTAGCGGATGTGCTCACAGGTGGTATGGATAATTTTTTGAGTTGGCGAAACCAACAATAGCCGTGGAGGAAACTTCGACCTGGAAATTATGAGCAGGCTCAATAGTAAATATCATGAAGCTATGAACTATTCACCATACGATGGTATCTAGGATGTCTTGCGACTGATATCAGGTTCAATTCGGTAAATTGGAAGTGACGGAATTGAATGAAGTGAAAGTAGAAATTCTGTTCTAAAAGCTTCAGGCAGTACCGAGTAGTTGAAATTCGTAGCGATGAAGTTGCTTACTATGAAAGTGTAGAGCTTCGTAGAAGAAACTTCAATTAGTGGAAAGAGAAGCTGTATGATGGATTATTTTGAACAGCTGATAGCAGTGTTACTTCTTCTTCTGAAAGTGACTGTAACACTGCTGCTAATTTTATCTGCTAGGTTGAAAAATGGCATAAGTGCACACGAACCTAAACATAAGACTTTCGCCATCATTGCATCATTGTCGTCTGATCTAGTTAAACGAAATTTTGCAGATACTAATGTCTAGGTAGTAAACAATAGTAAGATTGGAAGAGTTTGGATAGCATACATTTTCTACAATGTATTCTTGTAGGCAATATTCTTGATTTTATTGTATTGTCCGGAAAGTCTCAGCCGATTTTTGATTCATTTTCGGGTGAAGATTCCTTGAAGAAGGAATATATTAGTTAAACAAAGTATCCTCTATCTTGTTCAGTGAAGGTTCGCCAGCTTCCTGTAAGTTTCAATGTCCCACTAAAGAAGGTTCTTGACCTAAAATCTAAGGGAAAAATCAGGTGCTTTTTGCAGTCCTCCATCGGATTGAAAGATCTTCCATTCAAAGCATTCTGCAGAAACCTAAGCAAATGGTATTCTCATGGTGTGATGTCCGCACTATATGGGGGAGGGGGGTGTGGTAGGACATCCTATCCAAGCTTCAGCAATTTTTGACGAGTGGCCAAAAATGTGTGTGGTGTAGCAACTGCTACCATACAGTACATGTTACAAGGCGGCAAGCTCTGCACTAACACTCTGTCGTCGAGGTGGCTCAACGCGCGCACCGACATGTGAAGATCAAAAGTGCGTGTGATCTGACCTTTGATCTGTGGCCCGACCGGGGGATATAAATAGCCGGAGGGCTTCTCGGTCGACTCATTCTTGGACCTGGTAGTCTGCAATCCGGCATTACCGCATCCAATATCCAATATCCAATATCCAATATCCAATACTCAATATCCAGTCGACCCTTCCACAATCGGACGTC